ATTTAGCTGGGAATTGGTCCTGCTTTGAGCAGGGGGTTGGACTAGATGACCTCTTGAGGTCCCTTCCAACTCTGATATTCTATGATTCTATATTAGGAAACACTATTTCACTAGGAGGGTGGTGAAACACTGGAATGGGTTACCTAGGGAGGTGGTGGAATCTCCATCCTTAGAGGTTTTTAAGGCCCGGCTTGACAAAGCCCTGGCTGGGATGATTTGGTTGGTGTTGGTCCTTCTTTGAGCAGGGGGTTGGACTAGATGATCCTCTGAGGTCTCTTCCAACCTTAATCTTCTATGATTCTAGGAAATTGACACACAAAAAACACACATGGCAAAAAAAGGATTTTTATAAAGCAGAGACTGTTTAGTAAGCACATGGTAAAAAATATAACAGTTGGTTAATAAAGAAACAGTTAAAATATGAAATATAAGGGTAGGTTAAGAAAAGAGCATTTAAAAAGAGTGAAATAAAAGAGAAACATATAAAGAGAAGTTAAAAGAGAGAACAGGGCAAAAAAGGGAAACGAAACCCCTTTGCAAAGGGCAAAAATAGACAGCCCATGGCTGAGTCAGAGAGCGAGAGATCTTACCCTTGCAGCTGTTCCTGGGGAAGGAGGGAGCTCCCAAGACTCACAACCCCTCAGGTTAGTTATCTCTGCCTTTGGATCGGACCAATCAGATGCTGTTGTACACCTGCATCATAGAATACATTTTGCTGAACCAATCCTATAGTCCCAAGATTTGTATACAAGAGCCATCTCCCTCCCCGCCCCTCACTACCCCCTCCCCTTTAACTGCCTTATTCTTATCTAAAAAAACAGACCCCCTCCCCCAAGCATCTTTCCTGCCATGTAGCCCTTTTACATAGGTGCTTTAATAAAGGTTAAATCCATAAGCCCGTAGTAACAAACAGTTTTTAAAAGTTTCCCCCTATGTTTTAGACTAACATCGGTCATCTTTTAGTGAGGACAATTTGAAGCAGCATGCTTTTGCAGCAAAGCCACTGTTAGCAAAAACAGCCTGTGTGAGTCAGTGGATCAGAGATAAGAAGGCTGCTTCTCCCCCCACTTTTTAACACATACAAGTGAAAGTTATATTAAGTTTTGTAAAGGAATAAACACTTAGAAGACAAACCTAAATGAAGACAGAGCCCTTTATTTAACATTTTACAGGTGTGTTTCAATTAAAAAGAAATGAGCATGCAGAAACACCCCAGAGTGAAAACCACTGTGGCTTTTTCTACATGTTAAAAACCGATACGACCAATTCGGCTAGCCAGTGCTCCATGCACTATAGTCTGCCTTCGCAAGGCTCTAGGGTCACCCCTTCAGTTTGCTTGTTTTTTTACAGAGACTTCTTTCCTAACTTTTTAAACTCTGTTAAAGTTTTAACAATGGTGAGATTGCATCGAAAGACACTTTGTGAAAGTTATAACAAGTATTTTATTCCATTTACTGATTGTAAAAGACAAAAACCGTGGCTTTGTGACTGTATGAAGCCCAGAGATAGCCTGTCTGAAGAACACCCCTCGACTTTTCCCCCACACTTTTAACACTTGCCAAACATGCAGTGTTTCATTATATAACGGGTTTTTAACATTTAACATGAAAATACAGCATTGACCCAGATGTAACATAACATGACCGTTTTATAGGATATTCTGTATGCAGTGAGGCCTATTTGAAGCATCATGTTTGTTTTTCTAAAAGTTGAACATGAAAAATCAGTATTGACTGAGCTGTAACGAAACAAGGCCACACTTAGGGATGTTTTGTAGAAGTTTAGTGAACTAAAAAGGCTTAAGACACTAGCCTGTCCTTTTAAAAATAGTATTCTTACAGTACCAAAACAGCAACTGGGTAAGAATATGAAAACTGGCAATTGAGGGGAGTTTACAGATGTGTTTTAATAAAAAAACAAAAGTAACAAAAAAATAAACAAGCTTGTTTTTTAAAGTTTGGATTTATACAAAAAACACAAGAAAAATTAGCTTATGTAAAAAAAGTTAGTTGTTTATTACCAGAGATGAGAAGTCTGCCCCCGCTCCCCCCGTGCGCACACACACACTTTCTTCTTTTTTAATGTTTTTTTTTAAATCTAAACTGAGGACAAACACATTTTTAAAAAAGCCACAGAGCTCAGGCCCTGGGGGTAAGAAAGCTGTCCTGAGTTTTAGGGGGAATGTTGATAACTCTTTTAGTGAAACAGTTTTGTAGGCAGCCATTCCGTGTTTGTTGTGTGTTAACACAGGCAAGCGTTTGTCATTCGGAAGCACTTTCCCACTTTCCGAGGTATTATCTCCCCCATCCTACGGCCTATCAGAAATATTAACAAAAACAACTTAAAGATACTTTGTGGCAGGGCCTGCAAAGCAACAATTACACTTGTGTTGATCATTATCTTGTCTAAGCCCCCAGGGAATATTTTTCTGTTTTGTTTTTATAAAACACTTTTATGCAAAGAGTAACCCGAGATGCTGTACAGCATTAAATAACATGAACCGGTAGACAAGAAACCCGAGACATTGTTGAAATCAGAGGAATCATGATTAAGTCCTAATGCAGAGGGCCTTGGGCGGGGGGAGGAATGAAAAGGTCCAGCCAAAGCGGGAGACGGTTTGATTTAAGAGGGGTTCTGGGGCTGCTTTGCAATGGTCCAGATGCCCCAACAGCCTATATCCCTCGTGCACAAGCGCCAGGGCTTGGTGGGGTGAGTGGGCCTTTGTTAGAGGAACAGGCCGCTCATATACCTCTTGTTGTTTTTGACAAACGGTAACCGAACTGCAGGTATACTACGGGGGCAACCTACTTCCCTTTTGACAAACCGCACATTCCTTGAACTTCATAAAAACCACACTTCACATAGTTATTTTCAACTGGCATTTTATTTTACAACAACATTGTATTTCCCAAAACACGCTCTAACTTTTAGTGTTTTTTCTTAGCAAGATTTTGTCATTTGCTGACCGAAGAAGACGTTCAACATTTCGCATTAAGCATGTATCTGTCGGTTTAATGAGTTATTATTATTGATGATGTGTTTATGAACGCCATGGCAGAGCTGAATGTCCCATCTTCCATCACAGACAACGCGGCCAGCAGAGATCTTTGGGAATGCCTGCAGGCCTCGACCACCGACACCAGTGTGATCAAAAAACACCACTATCCCCTCCCCCCTTTTTTTTTGCCTCTTACAAGGCAAAAATTGGCTAAAAGACCCAAATGGCTCAGTGTCTAATGTTTTTCATGCTTTACGAAAGTAGTTTTAGAAATGGTAATGTTTTGTTTTAAAAAACACTTCTATGCTTTTCCAAACAAAAAATAAAATATCTGTGTATACTTTCTCTGAATTGGTCGTTGTAAAAAAAAAAACTCGCCCTTCCCCGCTCCCTCACCTGGGGTGCTTTATTCAGAAACATGGCTCTTGAAAGTCATTTCAAGAGACAGCGTCTGGGCTTGTTGAAACGCATTTTGAGCGAGCCTAGATTCACTTGAGATTTTACGAAATTCGTCACGGTAGTGAGGCGGTGTGGCTTCCCGCCGTCCCGGAGTGGGACGAGCCCATCTGGAGGCCAGAGTGGGCGGAGCTAGGGAGCTCTGAGCCCGCCCCTCAGAGGGTCAGGTGGTGACCCGAAAATATAAAGGCTCACCCCCAGAGCTCAGTAGGGCCCCAGCTGCCGGAGAGGCCAGACGTCTCCAGCCTAGCCCGCAACTGGGAAACCACCGCGGCCCAAGGTGCAGGCCAGGACTGGCCAGGCCTGCCCTGCGCTCACTACCCAGAGGAGTTGCCGGGCGTGCCGCTCCCCCCAGACACCTCAGCTCTGTGTAGCTGAAGAGCCGAGCTGCCCGAGCGCTACCGGCTTCACGGTTTGCCGGGCAGCCCCCAGACCTCCAGACCCTGCGCCCCCGGCCAGGTGCTTCCCCTCCCGGGTCAGGGCGGGGCAATATGGTAGGGTTACCATATTTAAGGTTTTAAAAAAGAGGACACTCCACGGGGCCCTGCCCCCCCCCCCCCCGACTCCGTATTGTCCCGTATTGACCCAGGGCCTGGGCTTACGGGGCTTATTCCAGTTACCGCAAGGGCCGCCCGGAAAGACTCCCGCGGCCGGACTAATTCCCCACACCTCAGCAGTGTGCAGTGAGCCGGTGTGGCTCCCCACCGCCCCAGAGAGGGTCGAGCCCCGGCCAGCACCTCTAAAATCACCCTCTGGTCACTTTGCTCTAAGTCGCTGAACACCATTTTAAAATCTGGTCAAAGATAAGCCCTTGCTATGGCGATGTAAGGAAAACATACAGTGATAGCTGCAGCCGACAGAGCAGGGGTCTTTACCCACCTCACAAACCCTCCGTTCTTGCCACCCAGCCCTGCTGCTCCATGTTGTCCGGGATTGTCTTTAGAAAACAGGCCGGCGGAAAATTGTGTGGCGAGGGTGTGGTGGCTGTAATTGAGCACCGATTCTATAAAGACCCTGTGACGGTAACAGTTGTTGCTTTTGCTTATAAGAACGGCCCTACTGGGTCTGTCGACAGTGGCCAATGGCAGGTGCCCCAGAGGGAATGAACAGAACAGGGAATCATCAAGTGATCCATCCCCTGTCGCCCATTCCCAGCTGCTGGCAAACAGAGGCTAGGGACACCAGCCCTGTCCATCCTGGCGAATAGCCACTGATGGACCTATCCTCCATGAATCTATCTAGCTCCCTTTTGAACCCCGTTATAGTATTGGCCTTCACAACACCCTCTGGCAGCCTCCCAGAGTGACATCCAACTGCCTGAAAATAGACTCCATGGGGTAATTCACCAGGCCCACCTCAGCCCCCCTGGTGAGTTCGGTTCCGTCTCCTTTCACAATCTCGCAACAAAGCTACAGCAGCGGGCTGTTTAATATAATCGATGCCATTCCCTGCTATAAAAACGTCCATGGGGCAGCCTCCGTAACGGCTGCTAGAGGCGACACCTCAACGTAGATGCTTTTCTCGATGCTGGTCTGCGTAGGGGCTATTTGGAACAAGTCTAGTCCGGATTTGGGGCACTCTTCAGACCCGCAGTAAACAGAAGCCATGTTGATTACAATCTCTCTCTTTTAGCAGGTGGAGGGCGTCTCCTCTTTCACCCAGGCTTCCTCTTGGACTTTCGCTTACGGCCGGCCCTGCGCATCAAAGCCCTTCTTTTAAAGGGTTTCGGGGGACCTGTGCGTCA